CGTATTGTATTGTTTAACGTTGTGTTGCTCGGGTGTCCCATCCTTGCATGCAAGATGTCTTCGCCAGCGCGGTGTCCGGGTGAGCGCCTGTACAGGTCGGAGTTGGAATAAAAACCTGCGGTGAAGTTGGCGCTTCTGTGGACTTCTCGTGGAGTGGGAGTCAGCTGTTGCGCAGGAGTTGGTGGCGTGTCGTCGATGAGGGCCAGTGTTGAAGGACCAGTGATTGGTGCCTGTGTTGTTTCTGCTGCTGCCGATGTTGTCTCTGCTGCTGCCGATGTTGTCTCTGCTGCCGTCGATGCTGTCTCTGCTGCTGCCGATGTTGTCTCTGCTACTGCCGATGTTGTCTCTGCTGCCGCCAGTGTTGTCTCTGCTGCTGCTGATGTTGTCTAAATCGTTGCTAACGCTCTTGTTCATTCTGTCTCAGGTATAGTATGCGAATACCAGAAGCCTCCAGGACTGAAGTCGGGGTCGAGATCTGGCGGGTGTGTCCTGTCAGAATGAACAGGCAGGAATGATGGACTAGCAAGGATTGTGAGTACAAAATATGAAACCCTAATGTTGTGACCCCCCTATAGGCTAACCCACTACAGCCTACACAAATACAACATGTATAATGTTTGACACACCCCCATAGGCAAAGTGGGGGAGACCTAGGGGTCACAAGACCAGTCAAGGCAAAGCAAGGCAACAACAAGCTCAGGGTGGATCTCAAGGATTCCACACAAATTCCGAGCACAAGCCAGTGGTCACAAGACCAGTTCACATGCAAGTTTATAACAGAGCAAGAGATACAGTGATCACAACCTAGCAAGAGTAAACATGCAGGTATAGATATATATAGTGATCACAGTACAAGCAAAGTCAAGAGGTAAGCAAGTGAGGTCCAGTAGGCACAAGGCCTAGTAGAGTGCAGAAGCGCTGATGGTCACGAGGCTGAAGCGCCTTGGTGAACACATCAGCAGTGTTGGCCTCAGTGGCCACGTAGCGAATACAAAGCTGACCGCGCTGCTGCAGCTCTCGAGCAAGGAAGTACCGCAGGGCGATGTGCTTCGTTCTGTGCTCCAGTCTGTGCTCCTCACACAAGGCAATGGCAGCCTTGTTGTCGACGTACAGTACTGGAGGAGAACGAGGCCGCTCTCCGAGGTCGGTCAGCAGGTAGGTCAGCCAGCGTAGCTCCTGGGCAGCCATGGCTGTAGCGTAGATCTCAGCCTCGCAACTGGAGCCGAGAACAGAAGAAGAGCGTGTAGAGCGCCAAGAAACCGAGCCAGAGCCAAGGCTGAAGGTGTAACCCTGAGACGACCGCTGAGTGGCCTGGTCGTCTGCCCAAGAAGCGTCTGAGTGCCCTGTGAGAACAACTCGGTCTCGCCCTCCAAGCACAAGCCCCATGCCCGACGTACTGCACAAGTAGCGCAACACCCTCTTAGCGGCATCCATGTGCTCCTTCCTGTGACGGCCAGGAGCGACATAGCGTGCAAGGATGCTAAGAGGGTATGCAAGGTCAGGTCGAGTGCAGGTCATCAGGTACATGAGGCAGCCCACAAGCTCTGGATACGGGCCACTCGGCTCTACGGACTCATCCGAAGGCAGAGCTGAGAGCGAGTGACCGGTAGGCAGAGGAGTGGACTGAGGCGAGGAGTACGTGAAGCGGAAGCGCTGGAGAACCTGCTGCACCATGTGTGACTGAGTCAGGGTGATGGTGCGCCGTGCTCTGTCCCGGGTGATCCGCAAGCCAAGATAGCTTGTCAGCTCACCCAGGTCTGTGCACGTGTGTCTCCTCTGCAGCTCCGACTTCACGTAGGCGAGTCCTGCAGTGTCAGCAGTGGCAAAGACCAAGTCGTCGACGTACACGAGGATGTAGAACGGCGGCAGCGAAGTGTCGGTGCGCAGGAACAGCGACGGGTCAGCTGTAGAAGGCGCGAACCCAAGAGCCGCAAGTGTAGTCCTCAGTGTGTCGTGCCACTCACGCGGAGCCTGGCGGAGACCGTAGACCGGCCGCTGAAGCCTCCACTGGGTACCAGGAGGAAACGACCCAGTGAAGCCAGGTGGGCGGCGCAGCCAGATCTCCTCGTGCAGGCTGCCCTGCAAGAAAGCAGTGCTGAAGTCAAGTGAGTGAAGCTCGTAGTTGCGGTGAGCGGCTATGTGCAGCAGCACCCGAAGAGTAGTCATCTTCGGGGTGGGGGAGAAGGTCTGGAAGAAGTCAACTCCCTCTCGCTGACTGAAGCCTCGAGCCACGTAACGCGCCTTGAAGACAGGCGGAGAACCCGGCGGCCGCTTCACCCTGAAAATCCACATGCCACTGACGATGTTCGCCCCAGGAGGGGGAACCTCGTCGACGTAGGTGCGTGTGGACTTCCAGGAAGCCATCTCAGCGTCCATGGCTGTCTGCCACTGAGAGGAGTAGGGACCCGCCATCGCCTCAGCGTAAGTGCGCGGGGTCGGGATGTCTGGTGCATCCGGGTCTCCCTCAGGGGCAACTAGCAAGGACACGAGACGGGGCAAAGCAGCAGCAAGACACTGGAACTCCTCCTGTCTGTCCTCAAGGACGTCCGTGCCAAGAGCACACTCACCCCCGACGGACGGAGGACAGACAGACTCAGACTCAGACTCAGCAACAAGGCTAGCAGCGTAGTCTAGACGACAGGCAGCAGCAAAGTCAACCAACTCAGCGACCAGAGCAGACGCAGTCGAGGACTCAAAGGTAGGGTCAGTGACAACAGTAGCGAGGAGACGCGTGACAGTAGGGTGCTCAGCACGAAACCGGTCAGACTCAGGGTCCGGAACGTCAGGCAAAGAGGACGCAGGAGGAGACGGTAGAGGGACACGCTGAGGAGCAGTAGAGGGACGCAGAGTCATGTAGTGAGTGCCTGGGACAGGAGGAGGACGCTCACGACGGACACGACTGCCAGTGCGAGCAGGACGAACAGGCGACGCAGGACGAGACTCAGGCTCACGACGCTCTGTAAGACCTCCTGTGGGACCAGTGTAAGGAGAGGGAGCAGGGAGAGGCGAGGTAGGCGGTAACTGTGACTGCGGCTGGACAGGCGGGGGACACTCTACGGAGGGAGGAGGACAAGGAGGAGGAGCCTGCCCAAGAACCTGCTGAAGGAGCGGTACGAAGTACGGTCGCGGCCGCGCAGCATCTCCAGAAGCAGAGGAGACTCCAGCGGCCGGGTCCTCAGTACCAGTAGTAGCTCCAACGCCCGGGTCCTCAGCAGCAGCAGCAGCGCCACCGCTCGGGTCCTCAGCTCCAGCAGCAGCTCCACCGTCCGAGTCCTCAGCACCAGCAGCAGCTCCACCGTCCGGGTCCTCAGCACCAGCAGCAGTGCCACCGCCCGGGTCCTCAGCTCCAGCAGCAGCTCCAACGTCCGAGTCCTCAGCACCAGCAGCAGCTCCACCAGGCGGGTCCGCAGCACCAGCAGCAGCTCCAACGTCCGGGTCCTCAGCACCAGCAGCAGCGCCACCCCCAGGGTCCGCAGCACCAGGAGCACCACTCCGAAGACTGCAGCGCCGTGTGTACCACTCGCGGATCTGCTGAATGGGGGGGAGCTCCTGGGTAGGAGGGGAAGTACCGGGACGAGCTCCAGTAGCACCTCTCCGGAGGCGGCAGTACTCGAGGTACCTCTCCTGCAGCTGCTGGGAGGAGAGGGCTCCTCCAGGTGTAGCACGCTCAGGCTCAGCACCCCCAGACTCAGCACCCCCAGACTCAGCACCCCCAGGCTCAGCACCTCCAGGCTCCGCACCTCCAGGCTCCGCACCTCCTGGCTCAGCACCCCCAGGCTCCGCACCCCCAGACTCAGCACTCCCAGGCTCAGCACCCCCAGACGCAGCACCCCCAGGCTCAGCACCCCCAGACGCAGCACCCCCAGGCTCAGCACCCCTAGCAGGACGAGAGTCAACAGCTACCTCGACAGGCTCACCCGGGTCTACCTGGGACACACCTGAGGGAGCGGCACCCTGAGGGGGGAGGGGGTCTGGGACCTCAGCACCTGGAGCGAGGAAGAGAGGCGGGGGGGGGAGCGGGGCAGTGCGGTAGGGGAAGAGGCGGTAGTAGGGGACGGACTCGTCAAAAGTGACGTCCTGAGAGGCCAGGACACGACGCGAGGTGGGGTGGTAGAACTGCCAGCCAGGGGCGTCCGGGACAAAGCCAAGGAAGACGCAGGGGACAGCGCGACGGGAGAGCTTGTCCGCGGACGTGTCACGGACAAAAGCTCGGGATCCCCAGACCCGAAAACGCGACGCATTGCCAGCCTCTCCCGTCCAACGCAGTGTCGGAGAAGTCTCGGGCAAGGAGACACGGGGCCAGAGGTTGAGCTGATGCGCAGCGTATCGGACTGCAAACGGCCACAGAAAATGGGGGGCAGCCGCATGGCTCAAGGAGGTACGAGCGACCTCCATGACCAGACCAATGCGGCGCTCAGCAACCCCATTCTGCTGTGGAGAGGCCGGAAGCGTGTACGACTGCTCAATGCCCTCCTGCTGACAGAAGGCCTCCAATAGGCCAGAGGAAAACTCCCCACCTCTGTCAGAGTGCAGACGCAGGACAGGGAAGTCGGAGCGGAAACGCTCACTGAGCTGGAGACGAGATCTGCGGATCCAAGGGATCAAGACATCAGGGACGTCACCCTTGGCGCGCAAGGGGAAGACCGTGGTGTAGCGCGAGAAGTCGTCAACAACAATCAGGAAGTACCTCTCCTGACCCTGACCACGGACGCGGGCTGGGCCCCACACGTCCATGTGGAGCGTCTGCAAGGGAGCAGTCGTCGGGGGAAAGGAGGAGGAGTGAGGAGCGGCGCGCTGCCGTCCCTCGACACAGGGAATACAGGGAGGAGCAGGCGAGTCGGGAAGGGGAGGGAGCACCCTGGGAAGACCAGCAACAAGGTCCCGTTTGTGCATGGCCCGAAGGCGCTGCACAGACGGGTGACCAAGGCGGTGGTGCCAAAGGACAGTCTCATGCGCCAGAGAGCGACACGAGCAGGGGGCGGACAGCTGACCTGACGCAGATGCTGACGTAGACGCAGACGCAGCTACCTGAGGGGACTCAGTGGTCAGTGTGTACAGGTCCGACCCCGGCTCTCGAGTGAAAGTAGCCAGGTGGCGACCCGTCCGAGCACACGTGCAGTGTGTCACGCGCTCGTAGGCAGGGGTGAACTGGTGAACACCCGAGTCCTGGAGCGCACAACCCGCCACCAAGTTCGTAGAGAACGAGGGGAGGTAGAGACCTGACAGCGTGCCGGACGGGACCGCCGGACAAGGAAGGACAGTGGAGGAGGTCGCAATGACCGGACCCCCAGAGGGGTCAGCAAGGGAGACAGCAACTGGCCGAGCGAGTGGCTCAAGGACAGTGCGGTCACGAAAGAAAGAGCGAGAAGCACCTGAGTCCAGGGTGAAGGTGTGCAGTGCTGCAGTCGACTCAGTACCAGGGGGCACAGACGCACTAGCACCTAGGGCAGCAGCCTCACCATCACCTGGGGTAGCAGACACGCGAGCACCTGGAGCAGCAGACGCACTAGCACCTAGAGCAGTAGGCTCACCAGCACCTGGAGTAGCAGACACGCGAGTACCGGGAGTGGTAGCCTCACCTGCACCGAGGGCAACAGACGTACTGGCACCGAGAGCGGCTGCCTCACTCACAGAGCGACTACCACTACGGTCACCCCGACTGCTCAAACCGGCGTACCACATACGAGCCTGCTGGAGCAGAAGAGGGCACGGCTGCTGCACCTGTCCACTACCTGAGGCTCCCGAACGACGGACGCCAGAGCGACTACCACTACGGCCACCCCGACTGCTCAAACCGGCGTACCACTCACGAGCCTGCTGGACCAGAAGAGGGCACGGCTGCTGCACCTGTCCACTACCAGGGGCTCCCGAACGACGCACGCCAGAGCGACTACCACGCCGGCCACCCCGACTGCCCAAACCGGCGTACCACTCACGAGCCTGCTGGAGCAGAAGAGGGCACGTCTGCTGCACCGGTCTACTACCAGAGGCTCCCGAACGACGCACTCCAGAGCGACTACCACTACGGCCACCCCGACTGCCCAAGCCGGCGTACCACTCACGAGCCTGCTGGAGCTGCATCTGGCCACGTCAGGAGCAGCAGCAGTAGCGGCAGCAACAGCAGGAGCAGTAAAGGCAGTAGCAGCAGCAGTAACGGTAGCAGTGCTAGCAGGGCAAAGCTCACCAGTGGTTGGTGCGGCGGGCGCAAGACAGTGGCGACAGCGTGGCCGCTGCAACAGCGGGGCGGGGCCAGGTCGTAGCAGGGAGCTCCGCGGCAGCTGCTGCAGGGTCGGCGGCGGCCGCTGCTGTAGGCTCGGCGGCGGCAGCTGCTGCAGGTCGAGCGGCGGCTGCTGCTGCAGGGTCGGCGGCGGCCGCTGCTGTAGGCTCGGCGGCGGCTGCTGCTGCAGGGTCGGCGGCGGCAGCTGCTGCAGGCGCGGCGGCGGCAGCTGCTGCAGGTCGGCGGCGGCAGCTGCTGCAGGTCGAGCGGCGGCTGCTGCTGCAGGCTCGGCGGCGGCAGCTGCTGCAGGCTCGGCGGCGGCAGCTGCTGCAGGTTCGGCGGCGGCAGCTGCTGCAGGGTCGGCGGCGGCCGCAGATGTAGGCTACGCGGCGGCAGCTGCTGCAGGTCGAGCGGCGGCTGCTGCTGCAGGGTCGGCGGCGGCCGCTGCTGTAGGCTCGGCGGCGGCTGCTGCTGCAGGGTCGGCGGCGGCAGCTGCTGCAGGCGCGGCGGCGGCAGCTGCTGCAGGTCGAGCGGCGGCTGCTGCTGCAAGCTCGGCGGCGGCAGCTGCTGCAGGTCGAGCGGCGGCTGCTGCTGCAGGCTCGGCGGCGGCAGCTGCTGCAGGCTCGGCGGCGGCTGCTGCTGCAGGTTCGGCGGCGGCAGCTGCTGCAGGGTCGGCGGCGGCCGCTGCTGTAGGCTCGGCGGCGGCTGCTGCTGCAGGTCGAGCGGCGGCTGCTGCTGCAAGCTCGGCGGCGGCAGCTGCTGCAGGTCGAGCGGCGGCTGCTGCTGCAGGCTCGGCGGCGGCAGCTGCTGCAGGCTCGGCGGCGGCCGCTGCTGTAGGCTCGGCGGCGGCTGCTGCTGCAGGGTCGGCGGCGGCCGCTGCTGTAGGCTCGGCGGCGGCTGCTGCTGGTCGCGTGACAAACCCTAAGCCGCGCACGGGCGGCTAGCGGGTCACGCGTACGAAGAATCGGCCGCGCGCGGGCGGCTAGCGAGGCGCGCGCGCGAAAAATCGGCCGCGCACGGGCGGCTAGCGAGTCGCGCGCGTTAAAAACGAGCCGCGCGCGGGTGGCTAGCGGGCTGCGTGCGCGCGGTAGGTAGAGGCGCACGAGGGCGCGCGGTAGGTAGAGGCGCACGAGGGCGCGAAGGCGCACGAGGGCGCTCGGTAGTGAGAGGCGCACGAGGGCGCTCGGTAGTGAGAGGCGCACGAGGGCGCACGAGGGCGCTCGGTAGTGAGAGGCGCACGAGGGCGCACGAGGGCGCACGATAGGTAGGTAGGTAGGTAGGTAGCGGTGGGCCCTAGGAGCGGTCCTAGCAAAGGACCTGCTCTGATACCATGTCAGAATGAACAGGCAGGAATGATGGACTAGCAAGGATTGTGAGTACAAAATATGAAACCCTAATGTTGTGACCCCCCTATAGGCTAACCCACTACAGCCTACACAAATACAACATGTATAATGTTTGACATGTCCAAGAGGTGAAGTTGACGATGGCGTCGCTGTCGGCGGTGCCTTGGTCTGGAACGAAACCAAGAATGAAGACGTTGTTCTTCAAGACCGCCTTGCCGATGTAGAGGCCGCCTTTTCCGTGGTACAGCTTGAACTCTTGCGTGGTGCTATCTGCTTCAAGATGGATTCCCTTCGCCATGAGTTGACTGACGCTGAGTAAGTTGTAGCCGAGTCCCTCCGCGATTAAGACCTTTGACATTTGCAGTATGACATTGGTTTCTCTTGACTGAAGTTGAACTATGCCTTGTCGTCGTGTGCGCAGGTTCTGGTTGTTGGCGACGGTGATGACGACTTCGCGCTGAAGTTGATGCTCTCGTTGAACGAAGCGACCCGAGGAGCACATGTGCTGTCCGCAGCAGCTGTCCAAGAACCAGGTGTCTTTTCCGGACGGCTCGCTCTGGGCGATGGCTGCGTACGTCGGGTTCGGCTCCAGTGACTCGCGGCAAGGAGTGCTTTCGTTGAGCAACTCTTCTGGTGAGTAGTGCGGTGGTGACTCGGTGATACATGAGTCAGCAATTCTTGTCATGCAGCTCACGATGTTTCTTGTACCTTGTGCAAGTTGTGTCGTTGATGTTGTTGAAGACTGCGCTTGATTGGTAGGATGTATCTGTGTGGAGGCCACCTGACTGCTCAAGGGTCGAAGTTGACGTTGCGGTGGTGTTGACTGCTGCTGGTTTGGGCAGTGTGTGCGAGGATGTCCAGATGTTTTGCAGAGGTGGCAGAACGGAGGTACGAGACGCTGAGCTTGATGCTTGTTTTGCCGGTTGTTGTTGTTGTTGTAGCGCCGTTGAGTGTGGAATGCAAATTCGGGTACTGACGTTTTCCTCTTGTGCCGCTCCTCGTGCAGGTCCATGTCTTGCTGTTCAGCGTGAATTTCGGCGCAGAGTGCTGCTTCGGAGATCTTCCCGTGGGCTCGGAGAAGGGCTCGGGTGGAGCGCCAATGAGGACCAAGTCCAGCGATGATGACAGTGACGAAGGCTTCTTCTGATATCGATCCTCCGCATCGAAGGAGTCTGTCGCTAATATACGCCATCCCTTTTTCACCGGGTTTCATTTCAACTGTTGTCAGCTGCGCCATTAACCGACTCTGATTGACACTGTCTGTTGCTTGATACAGGTTCTTCAGGTGGCTGTATGCGAGCTCGGCGGAGTTGCCGTATCCCCGATAAGACCGGATATTCTGCTGCTCATTTGGTGTTATGTTTCGTAGCAGGATCGTATACGCCATCATCGACTGATATGTATACTGCTGCTTGTCGTATTGTGTTCCGTGTATTGGGTATGGCAGGGAACCGTCGAAGTATCCAAGAATCTGCGCGCCTTCCATCATCAGCTCAAACTCGAAGGACCAGGTATAGATGTCCTTTCCGTCGAAGGGTGTCGATGTCTGCAGTTTCAGGACGTGTGCGAACTGCGACTGGATCTGAAGTTCGTCCAGCGCTTTTCTTGTTCAGGTGGAGGCTGTTGTTGCGGCATGAAGCTGATGGAGCCGCGTTGAGGCTCGTACGGGGCAAAGGTAGGTTGCTGCTGGTTTCCGCGCGCATAGGATGAGCCATCAAGACTCATTGGTGTGACGTCGTTGTTGTTGTTGTTTGACTGCGCAGGTGCTGCTTGCTGGTGTTGTTCGTAGAACGACATGAAGGAGAAGAACTTCTCCATGATGCTTGGGTCGAAGCCTGACGTCTGGTTCGCAGGAGTTTCAGTAGACTCAGCAGCTAGTCTTGTTGCCGTGCCTCCCTCTGTCTGTAGGCCAGAGGCTGGAGGTGGAGTAGGAGTAGTGCCGGGAGCTGGCCTCTCGTTATCAGGGTAAAATACCCTTTTTGCACTGACTGGCGGCCGCTTTTTTTCAGTTACCCTTTCACAGGCAGGGTAGTGGATTTTTTACCCTAGGCCAGAAAGTGTAAGTTTTTTTGTACCCTTTGAAAAACAGCGTAAGGAACTTGTTTCTCTGACTGTACTGTGTACAATCCCAATTACACTGATACCGATTGTTCCGTAGCAAGGCGAAACCGTATACAGGCCCCTGCAAAACCGATTGTTCCGATTGTTCCGATTGTTCTATCTGCAATTGCGAGACTCGAACCCGCGACCATTCAGATCTAACTTATAATGACCAACTGAGCCACTGAGTGTTATGCCTGGTAGCTTTGGAATATCTATACTAATGTTTTGAAAAAATTACCTTAGCCAAACAGACTTACATTTTTTTATCCTGCATTTGTCAGGGGAAAACAAAATTTACCCTACGCATCAGGGTTGACTATACCTAGAACCCTGATTACTAAGGGTGGCCCAAAACGAATCTGAAGCCCTGACCGGGAGAGCCGTTAGAGGAGCTTCTCTCTTCTGTGTTGCCATGTTTTCTGATGTTGTAGGAGTTTAAACGGAATGGAGTTTTGCCCTGTCCGCTCTCATACCATGTTGGGCTGAGAAAAGCCCTTAGGACCTTTCTGTCGATTCGGGCAGTGTGTGCGCGGGTGCCCTGACGTCTTGCAGATATGGCAGAACGGAGGTACGGGTTTTGGTTGTTGTCGGTTGTTGTTGTTGTTGTAGCGTCGCTGAGTGTGGAACGCGAATTCCGGTACTGATGTCTTTCTCTTGTGTCGTTCTTCTTGCAGGTCCATGTCTTGCTGCTCAGCATGTATTTCGGCGCAGAGCGCTGCTTCGGAGATTCTTCCGTGGGCTCGGAGAATGGCCTTTGTTGCGCGCCATTGAGGACCGAGGCCGCCGATGATGACTGTCACGAAGGCGTCCTCGGAGATCGATCCTCCGCATCGAAGAAGCTTGTCGCGCAGTTCGCGACATCGGCTGACATATGCCATCCCTTTTTCGCCTGGTTTCATTTCAGCTGTTGTCAGTTGCGCCATTAGCCGACTTTGACTGACGCTGTCTGTTGCTTGATACAGGTCCTTGAGGTGCTTGTACGCGAGTTCCGCGGAGTTGCCGAATCCCCGGTAAGACCGTATGTTCTGCTGCTGAGTTGGGGTGATATTTCTCAGCAGGATCGTGTACGCCATCATCGACTGATATGTGTACTGCTGCTTCTCATACTGTGTGCCGTTTGTTGGGTATGGCAGGGACCCGTCGAAGAAGCCAAGTATCTGCGCGCCTTCCATCATCAGCTCGAATTCGAACGACCAGGTAAAGAAGTCTTTCCCGTCGAAGGGCCTTGACGTCTGCAGCTTCAAGACGTGCGCGAATTGCGACTGGACTTGTAGTGCATCCAGTTGTTTTTCTTGTCCAGATGGAGCTTGCGGGTGCGGCATGAAGCTGATGGACCCGCGTTCGTACGGAGCGAAGGTAGGTTGTTGCTGATTCCCGCGCGCATATGATGAACCATCAAGACTCATTGGAGTCACGTTGTTGTTGTTGCTGTTGTTTGACTGCGCAGGTGCCGACTGCTGGTGTTGCTCGTAAAACGACATGAAGGAGAAAAACTTCTCCATCATACTCTGGTCGAAGCTGGCAGGTTGGCTGGCTGAAGGCGCTGCTGGTCCCGTTGCAGTTCCTTCCTCTGTCTGCAGGCCAGAGGCAGGAGGTGGGGTAGGAGTGGTCCCGGGAGAACCATTGGAGGAACTCCTTTCCTTGTATGTTGCCATGTCGTCTGTTGGTGTCTTGGTAATAGTTGAATTTTCCCTGATGGCTCTCATACCATGTTGGGCTGAGAAAAGGCCCTTAGGATCTTTTGCAGGGGTAAATTCGGGGTAGGACTATTGTAATAGCGGAAGCGTTTTAATGAAGACTTGTGAACCACCTTGCACTGGTGTGTGAGAGCAAAGTAAGTTGGTTAAAGCAAGGGAATACAAGCGTTTATATATGAGTACAAGGAATATGAAAGGATGCAGTTGTAACTACTTTACTGTTGCTGTTGCGGTTCGATACAGTAACGACTCGGGCAACCGCTCTGTAACGAGTCGGTTGTGTGTCCTTGCTGTCGTACTGTACTTGTCAGGTCAAAGGTCGCTGACCTTTGACTTTCGCGTAACCTCCGGCAACCTCTTTCAACCTCCGAGGGTTGACTCGCTCGTGCCTCGATATGACTCGCTTTGCTTCTAGTGTGATGTTTCGACACGACAGAGGCGCTTTAGGAATTACTTGTTTCCAACAGATCTCGTGCTTGCCTTTTCAATCGAGTCGAAGTTACATGGGGTCGTCTGTGAAATTCTCGCGCGCGCTGGGATGAGAGTGAATCTGACTCACATCCAGCTCCTGACAGCTCCTGCTGACTGGACCCGCATCCAGTGCAGGGTCCGAATGTGAAGGGAACCGAATCTGCAACACATCCGCCTGCTAAAGTAAAAATCGTTACAGCGTTTTGAACACATTTCAAAATTTAAAGTTTACGTGCGCTTATAATAAAACAAGTTTTTTCAGGGGGTGCGCTTATAATCGAGCAGCGGATATAAGCGCCACACGCCAATTAAAAGCGCAAGGTGCTT